GCTGTGACACTTGGACACTTTTGCCGCGCGCATAGAATTCATATGTTTTGCTTCACTTCGCCACTTTCTCAGTGGCAAAAAGCAGCGGCTCAGGTTGAGCGATTCTTTTGGGAAATGGCATCAAGGATATGGCCAGTCCAATGGCAAATGCTTTGCGCTGCCCGCCTCGGCCAGGAACTATTTGATTTTGAGGCCTTTTGATCTCCGTTCTTACTCGGCCAGACTTGGGGAAGCTGGGCAGCTGGCAAGAAACGACGTTCATGCCTCGGCACAAGGCACTTAGGCTGGGGCTGGCCGCTGGAGACAAAGGGCAACCGGGGCTCCACAGTCATTGATTGAGTCATGAACACAGGACTGCGTGGAGGACTGCGTGGCCAGAGCTACAGCCATAGTGGGCAATGGCAACGGCGGCCGGGTTGAGGAACTTGGGTCTGGAGCATGGATTTGGGCCATGCGCCATGCTTCGTGAGGGAGCGGATCCAGTTTCTTGCGTGCGCGAGTGCTGCGTATATGTCCAACCTCTAGCACGAGCCGCAAACCGGGTGTAACGTCGCCCATAAATTTGAGTTTTCCCAGAAAAGAATTCACCAGGGCATGGGCAATTGTTGACTATTTGTGGACGTAAACCACCCAGTAAAACCATCACAATTTCCGCCCGCCCATGTGCGGCGAGGCCAGCCGGTGGACAAGGTGGAGGAGGAGCCCATGGGGCCGCCGCCAGACATGCGTGCCTTGGATGGGCATACCGTTTTTTTTCTTCTCCGGCAACATGCTGAATTTGGGCCTTGTCCGAAATTTATGGCTGTGAGTTGCACGACACTTAGTGCCGATGGACATAAACTCCGTGTGAATGCTGTCCACCAACGGGTCCCGATTAAAGGTCACATAGCAGGGCTAGCCTTGCTAGCAGTCAAAGGTCCCCAGATGGGTGTGTTGGCCCCTCTTTTGGGGGCTACCATTGGGGGGCAAGCTTGGATAGCTTGGAAAGAACGAGTGCACGTCGATATTGTTGATGGACACCATCCTGCACCAGTTGGCAGGTAGTTTATCTCCATATTTGCAGGGTTTTGCCCCAGGGTCTGTTCCATCAACCGTACCAGGAATTGAGAAGTGCAAGGGCTTGCAACGCCCAGCCCATGCCCTTAGAATTGGAATATGGGGGAGGAGGGCCATTTGTGATTTTGTTTTGGTAGGCTCGGGTTTGACAGAAACCCTGTGTTTCGCAGACATTCTGTGTCGTGTGCTTGTTTCAAACTGCATGGTCCGGCCACATGCCGCCACCTGTTGGGCTTTTGCGCATATTATGTAATTGAGTATTTTAAGGTTCATAAATATGGACCAGAATCAAGCATGTTACTTTGATTTGGGGGCAAATGCAGGGGTAGAAGCCAATTGCAACGGGAACTCATTTAAGTGACAACCTGGTTGATAGATAGTGGGGTTGGTTCTTTTTTGGGGCAAACCTCCTTTAGTGCTCTGCCGGGTTTCCATCCGGGATCAACCTTATTTATGGTTGCCGGTTTGCTCTACCTCAGCTCGCATTGGCTTTTGGATCGCTTGTGGTGGGTTCCTTGGTGAACATATTTTTTGAGGGGGCGCTTTGTGAGTGGCCAGGGGAATCCTCTTGTTGAAACACATGGGGGCTTGGGCTCCCAAGGCGGCGATGCCCGCCACGGCCTGAGGAATGTGCACGGGGGTGTGGACACCGTACCACACATACCAGGAAAGGTCCAATTCAAAAAGGGATCAGTTGGGTTCAGATGGAACCCCCAAAAAGGGGGCCATTCTCTCGTGAAAGGGTTCTGGGCTGCAGGGGTGCATGTTTTGTTTTGAGGGTACCTATTCGAAGGGAATGCAACCATTTTCAAACGAAACCTGCCAAGTGTGGAGATGTCGAGGGTCACTGGTGCAGCGAGCAGATTCAGGCGACGCAAGTGAAATCTGACAATCAAATGCATCCCTGATGAGCTTGTTGCTGCCGAGCAAGCACGTCTCTGCCAAGTTTGGGCAAGCTCTGGGACAACAATGCTCATGTTCGAGCCAGGGGATGCCCCCCCAAAAACGAGAAAGCTCCCCGGATAATCCTAAAGATGTCAATGGTATTATCAACTCACTTTGCTCCAGGTTCGATGTGCTTTAGATGTCTGCACAGTGCGGCTGCGGGTCTTTGATCCGGGTGTGGTGAAGTGCTTGTGCACCGAGGCGTGTTTTCATCTTCTTACATGATGCACACAAGTGGCGCTTTTGTCCTTTTTGGAAAGTACCTGCAAGGGCTGTGGCAACGTCTGCTACACGAGGTTTGTAGGTGTAGTTGGCAGTTGGCTTTTTCTTACGAGAGGTACGCAGCACAGGCTCTGCAAATGTGCGTCTTTGTTGCATGTTTGTGGCCTTTGGGCTACTGACGTAGTGATGCGGAACCTCCTGCTTGTGTCACGGGACCGAGTTTTCCCATGCCCTCTTTGGGCTCACATGGATTGAGGCATGCCCTCAGGCTGGCCAGGCAGGGCAGGCGACGTGTTCCCCCAAAAGGGCTGCTGATTGCTCTCTTTGTCCCCTGCGCCAATGGGTTTGGGCTTGGCTTGTTCTGGATTGGGTTGCGTTGAGCTGAGTTGGGGTGAGCTGGGTTGAGTTATTTGGAAAAGCCAGCTGCAGGGGAGCGAAGCTGAAGATGTGAGAGGTTGCCCACGATAGGGTCCCAAAAAGGGTCGTCATTTTGTCTCCTCCACATAGCGCATGACAGAATGCCTAGCTACTCATGGTCAACGGTGTTGGCCCATGACCCCTAAAATTTAGCCAACAATCAGGATTTCCAGCAAGGGAACAACTATGGCTGGGATCTCGTGTTGAAACGATTCGGGCCTTTGAGGTTCACCAATCATGGACCAGAATCAAGCAGCGCAGACACACAGGAGTTTTGACCAAGTGGAACATGAGCCAAGCCCCGGCCTGATCCAATCCATGAGCTGCGAGCTGATTTATAATATATGTATATGCACGGAGGATCGGCGATTGATCTTGGATGGCAGTAATATGAACCTATCCCATTTGGAGGAGGTTATCATATGGTTGGACTTTCAATGGCGCCCAAAGCCTCGAACTCCCAACCGCTGCAATGAAGGCTTTCCGCTCCAGGTGTTTTGGGGCATGTGCACATGGGATCTTGTTGAAATGAGGCATGCCCAAATGGCCAGATGGAGTGGCTGCCTGCCTCTCCTTTAGGGTACCCTAGGTTCGAAAGGGAACCAGAGCGGGCTCGAAGCCAAACGTGAAGAGTGAACTGAGTAAGGAATCATAGAAGCCCCTTAATCTAAACAACAAGAAGGACTCAGAAGAGGGAAGGCAAGGCGCCCCTAAACACCAAGGGTCCCTTGACCTCCCCTTGGGCTCACGGGGGATCGGAGCAGCCCCAGCATCGAAGCAAAACCATGGACGCATGCGGGAATCAAGGCAGCCCCAAATCCAGACAACACCATGTGCTCAGGAGAGGACAGGTCCTGCGCCAATTGTAAACAACAAAAAGGATTCAAGACGGAAGGCAAGATATCCCTGAATCCTTCGGAACGGCCCCAAAATCAGCAGCCCCAATTAAACAGCAAAACGGGTTCAAAATAAGAGCATTTTGGGCTAAAGCGTTAACCGGAGGTGGTCGCTTGTCTTGACTCTTAATAAGTATCCACTTGGGCCACCATTTTGGCTCAAGTGGACCTTTTGATCTTTGGTCTTGTGATTTGAAATCTTTCTTTCCCCTCTCTCAAAGCCATGTACGCCCCCGCCTACGCTGGTGCCGCGGTAGCAGAGGCTAAGGCTAAGGCAAAGGCCTCCATGGCAAAGTACCTGGCGAGCCTCGTGAAGAGGGAGGAAGAAGGATGGACCGTTTTGGCTGCCGAGGTCCCTCAGGCACCTGACGAGCGTTTCTTCTCCAGCGCTGATGAGCTGGAGCAGACCCCCCTTATCCCGGCCAAGCGCAAGGCAGAGGATGAACCGATGGAAGATGCAGCCCCTGGGGTGGCGCAGGTGCCGAAGGCCCTGACACGCCCCCCAGGGGCGTTCCTGGAGCTCCTGAACCCGCCGGAGGAGGACGTGCCCATGGAGGAGCCCCGGGCGCAGGACGAGAAGGAGCTGCCGATGCCCAGGTCCCCCTCGGCTGCAGCCCGATTGGAGGAGACCCGCCTGGATGCCCGGGCAGACGCCAAGTGGCAGAGGCGCCGGGAGCTGATGGCGAAGGTCAAGGAGCAGGCGTCCTCGGAGGAGGATGAGAACCCCGCAGCCCCCCCGCCGGGGGGGAGCGTGTTCACCAAGGCCCTCAAGGTCTCGGAGGGCCTCTACCAGTTCAGCGACGACCAGATGGCGGGCGACTTCCCCTGCTTCGATGCGACCACGGCCACTCGGCTCCGCCAACTGCAGGCCAAGGACGTCCAGCGGCTCCTGCGAGGCTTTGAGGGCCCCAAACTCAAGCAGGGGGGCCTGGAGCGCGTTGTGGAGGCCTTCTACATCGCCAAGATGAAGTACGAGCATGAGGCCCGGCTCAGCACCCCGGGACAGCAGGTTGGAAAGCGCGCTGGCTTGGGGTACGGGGGCCTGGAGAACCGCCCCCTGGGCAAGGTGCCCACATCCTGGATCTGCCCCTGCTGCACCATGCCCTGGGTGAAGAAGGGCGCCACGAAGTGCATGGGGTGCGGAAAGAAGACGGAGCCCATTGACATGGCTACCAACTCGGCCACCCTGGAGATGGAGGGCACGCACTGGCAGTTGACGGTGGATGACCAGGGCAATGCGGTCTGGACGGCGGCCCGGTCCGCAGGTGCCGAAGGCCCTGACACGGACCGGGCCCGCGACCTCAAGCTCAGTGCCTCGGTGGACGTCAGCGAGCTGGCCACCGACCCGATGGCCTGCGAGAACCCGGACCAGGCCAGCTTCTCGGACTTCGTCCCCTCCTCGGTCCGGGCGGTGATCAGGAACTGCCCCATGGAGCTGGACGAGGAGTTTCTGACGGCCCCACCGGGGGAGAGGCCCCCATTGCCAGGCGACAAGGAAGAGGGCCAGGAATGCAGAGCCTTCCACCCGTCTGCGGTGAAAGCCTTCAAGATTCAGACCCGGCTCAACGCCACCACCATCGCCCAGGAGGAGGCCAAGAAGGCGGACCAGGTGGAAGCGGTGGACCGCTCCGCGGCGGTCCTCCACGAACTTCAAGGGGGGGCCATTGACGGAGGAGGTGATGGAGGCCAGCTCCTGAAGAACCTGGACTTGGACCTCTTCCGTGAGAAGCTACTGGACAAGCTGGGTGCGGACTGGGGGAGACCCACACCGGAGCTCCTCCAGGCCCAGACCACTGCGGAGGAGGCGAAAGCGAAACACCAAGCCAGACAGGCGAAGGGCTCCCTCGAAACCAGGATGCTCGCGCCCATCGCGCCTCCCTTCAGTGCGTGGCCTAGTGAGGTCCGGGTCGCCATTGAGACTGGGGTCTTCGAGCCGACAACGGCATGGAGGGACTTCAGTATGGACGACCTCACATCCCTCACGGACTCCTACCTTGAGGCCAAGGCGGTCATCTCGCTGGGTAGGAATCCCTTCCCAGCAGCCCTCCTGGCAGATCTGCCGGACCTGGAAGGGATCCCCATGCCAAAGGGGCTCTGGTGCGGCGCGCCCAGGTGCCGAGGGCCCTGACAGGCCGCCCACCATCTCCTCAGCCTCGGGCTCTGGCGGGACGAGCTCAGGTGCCGAGGGCCCTGACAAGCCGTCCGCCACCCCGGTGGGCCTGGACACCCAGGACCCGGAGGTGCAGCTCGCGGTCCTGCGCTGGATGATGAGCAAACGGGTCGGAGAGGTCCGTATCTTTGCGGGCCGCTGGGTCCGACGACCCGGCCCGGTACACGGCGGAAAACCTCACCAAGGTGAATCCGGAGGCGTTGGAGAAGGGTACGCATCCCAGGAACCACCAGGTGGGTGGACTCCCCTGGGCCAGGTACTCCGTGGAGGAGTTGAACCAGCAGGCGAAGGCGGGGGACCGACCCTACCCTGGGGACCTGCGATCCATCTTTTGGGCTGCCCCCCACGATCCGGATGAGGACTTCGACTGGATTCGCCAGATCTCGTCCTGGACACTCCCAGGCCTACTGGGGATGTTCGGGCACAGCTACACCCTGCGCCAGCTCTGGGAGTCTGGGAGCAGGGCCCTAGGCAGCGGGGCCCGAAAAACAAGGCCCGGAATCAGACCCGCCTGGAGGGCTGGGAGACCCTGAAGGAGGACGCGCGGTGTTTCCTGAAGGAGGAGGGCCTTCCGTTTCCGCAGACAGGACCGGAGTGGCGATTGGTCTACCGGGCCATGGGCAAGGTCCTCGCGGCCCGGGCCTTCCTCACGGACACCCCGGCGGAGGTGATGCAGCTCCCGGTCCAGGACGTGGCGGACTCCAAGGAGCAGATGATCCTGCGGGCGGTAAGCGCATCTCGGTCCCGGTGGAGAGCCTCCAGCAGTTCCCAGAGGTGTACAAGGCCCTCATGGACCGCATTGGAGGCCCGGGGGCCCTGGCGGAGGTGAAGGTCAACTGGCGCTGCAACACGAAGCAGTGGTGGGTCGGCGCAGTTCCCGACTCAGTGGCCCCCTCCATCTACCGCAAGCTCGGCTACACCAACGACATGATCAAGTTGATGGGCCTGCACCCCTCCGCCCCTGGGTGCCGGACAGGTGCCGATGGCCCTGACATCCGCCCCAGGGGAGGCGAGGGCGATGAGGGGATCGTTTACCCCCCCATCACGGCGGACAACGTCCACGGCGTGGTGGGTAAGGTCTACCGGAAGAAGAACTATCCGGTGGAGATGAAGCATGTCTTCTGGGCGCACATGGAGTGTGGCCTGGTCCTGAGCTCCGTCACCCCGTGGGAACTCATCCCGAAGACAAAAGGGGAGACCCGGGGGCTACATGTGCAAGTATTGTAAAGGGTACTGGCGCGCCGGGGGAGGGGGCACCCGCCTCCTCCAGATCCGGGCCGGCAAGGCCATATTGCAGCTGGTGTTGGACGAGCCGCCGGAGGGCCTCTACAACCGCTGGGTGAAGGAGCGGCTGGAGTACTACTGCTGGGTGGAGCCCTCGGCCCCGTTGCGGGACGTCTCCATCGTGGACCAGAAGGTGCCCAGGTTCAGATTCAGCCAGACCACCCAGACAGGCCACGTCTCCAATGCCATCTGGGAGCTGATTCTGCGGAATCCGGAGGCGGCTGCGCTCAAGCGCATCGATGACATCGCGAAGGGGGCCGCGTGATGATGCGGGACAACGCCATCTTCCGGCACATCATCCAGGACCGTGGCCATCCGGAACGGATGCGCAGCGCACCCCGGGGGTGGGACAGCTGCCGAAGGCGCTGATATCCCCCCCCAGGGAACAGCGCAGGCCCAGACTCGCACCAGGAGAGAAAAATTGGCGCGGCTTGGGCTGATCCGGGGTGCGCCTTGGTTCCCCTCTCTTGTTTGGTTTTCCCTTTTCGGGGCGGCTCCCTGGGTCCCCCC